TGTGTGTGCATGTGTGACTGTGTCTGCACATGTGACTGCATGACTGTGTGTGCATGTGTAACTGTGACTGTGTGTGCATGTGTGACTGTGTGACTGTGCCTGCATGTCAGCATCCATGCATGTGTGAATTGGGCGTACGTGTGACTGTGTGTGCACATGGTATGCCGTGTGCATTTGTGTGCATGTGCATCCCTGTGGAATGTTTGTGTGTTCATGCACTGTGTGCTCACGTGTGTGTGTGTACCCATGTGCCCATATGTGCAGACCCCTGCCACGTGGTATAGGTACCAGGACTTGCAGATCTCCTCGGTGGGAACCGACGCTCCAGGCGGGTAGTGGGTATCCTCAATGTAGCAGCCACACTTGTCTGCAGTGACACACTTCTTCAGGTCCTCGTCATAGATGGGCCTCTCCTTGGGGCACCGGGGGTAGCAGCCTGGTGGACACAGGGCATGGAGTTGGGACCACCGCAGTCCACCACACCCCACCCACCGTCTCCACCCTGGCAGGCTCTTCTCTGGAGGATGCCCCTCTGGGAAGCCCAGGGATTAGAAAGGCAAGACCTGGATCTCCCCCTGCACTGTGCCTGAACACTGCCCGCTGAGGGGCCCTACCCAGTCTCAAGAGCAGCCCTGAGTCCCAAGACCCACATTCCTCTCCCATGGCAGAATTCTTCTTCCCAAATTTCCCACCGCACCCTTCTTCACGTCACTGGTTCTCAGCTCAGATGCCAGCACCTACCGGGGCCTCTGCTGACCTGTGCCTGAAATATTCCCCAACTCGCCCTGCTCTGCATGGACCTGAGTACCTCCCACCCCGCCACTTCCGGTTTCCCTCCTGACCCTGCAGCAAGAGGAGCCTGGCCGCCCTGGGCTGAGGGTGCCCTGAGGGTCAGGCCTCCCTCCGCGTGTCCCCACAGGTCTCCAGGAAACAACAGCCTTCAACCCCACACGGCCAGGCCTGTCTGCCATCCCCCCTCCAGGCCTGACCCACCCACCCTCCAGGCCCATCTGCCATCATCCCCTCCCCAGCTGCCCCACTCACCCTCCAGGCCCGTCTGCTGTCACCCCCCTCAGGCCTGCCCTGCTCACCCTCCAGGTAGGACACGGAGATGTTGGAGTGAATGCCGTTGATGGTCCTGCAGGTCTCGAAGCTCCGGTTCCCACACGGCTCATAGTGCCACTCACACTCATGCGGAGGGTTGTAGTAGTCACAGAATATGGCTGGGGGGAGGCGGGGCCGGGGTCAGACGCCGGAGATGGGGGCTCAGGCACAGGCCAGGATGAGGCAAATCTGGGGTGGGGGGCTGGGGCACGGACACATCAAGCCTGCTGTGCCATCCCAGGTCCATGGGGCCCCAAAGAAGGACGCCAGGGAGGTTGGGGAAAGGGCGGTCACGCACACCCACTGCCTGGATGGGCACAGAGTGCCACCCCAACCCACGGGGCAGCCCTCCCAGCCCCCCGCTAGCCCCAGGTCCAGTTCGGGGGGGCTCTTACGGCACAGGTCCGGCGTCCTCCAGAACACGCAGGCCTCCGCCTTGGTACACTCCTGGGCGTAGGAGGCCACAGCAGAGCAGAAGCACTCACAGTCCCCGCCCGTGTCACAGGAGCATGAGTCGTGCACACAGGCCTCGTAGAAGGGCATGGGGTCCACCTGCGGAAAAGACCCTGGTATGCTCTTGGCCCATGCTGCCTTCATGGGGCCAGGAATTCTCAGGTGCCGTAGAGCTCAGGACACTGAGGCTGCCCCTGCTCCTGGGACAGGGCACATCACCTGGGGCCCCAGCAGGGCCAACCTCTGGGAGAGGCTCCAGAGACACTTGTCCGCAATGGCTGTGCGGACCTGTCACCCAGTGCCTCAGCGTCCTTGGCTGCAACATGGCCATCCTAGAACCCACCCTCCCCACACTCCCTGCAGCAGGGGGTGTGTGGGCCTAGCGCAGGTGGGGGTGCTTGTCCTTTCTCCTTCCAGGTGAGTATCTGAGCCTGGGGAGGCAGAGGGAGGCAGAGGGAGGCAGAGGGAGGCAGAGGGAGGCAGAGGGAGGCTGGGGGTCCAGCCCAGGGTCAAAGGGAAGGCTGATTACATGGTCACGTGACCTAAGGATGCGGAGCCAGAGCCAAGGCTAGAGAACAAGCGCTCCGTGGTGTGCAGCAGGGCGACCCCCGAAGTGCCCACTGAGCTTGTGAGGAAGTCCCCTAGCCCCAGGGGCACCTAGGACACCACCCTGCTGTGACCACACCCTGATCAGTAATATGCTCTACTAGGCCCTAACCATGTCCAAGGTCAGCCCATAGTGCCACTCTGCCTAGGCGGCCCGCCCATGGCCCCACCCACAGCCACAGCCACCTATAGACCTGCTCTGCCTACAGTCGGCCCCGCCCACATCCACAGCCACCTATAGACCTGCTCTGCCTACAGTCGGCCCCGCCCACAGCCACAGCCACCTATAGACCTGCTCTGCCTACAGTCGGCCCCGCCCACAGCCACAGCCCACAGCCACAGCCCACCTACAGCCCTGCTCTGCCTACAGTTGGCCCCGCCCATGGCCCCGCCCACAGCCACAGCCCACCTACAGCCCTGCTCTGCCTACAGTTGGCCCCGCCCA